GCTGGCCGCCCTGGAGCGCCGCCGCTGGCTGAACTCCTACATGCACAAGCTGCTGGTGCTGGACGCGCGCTGAGCGCCCGTGGGCATGTTAATAAAGACCCTGTCGTGCGCCAGGACTCCGCCTCCTTCCTGCGCTCGTGGGCGCGTGTGCGTGTGTGTGTGTGTGTGTGTGTGTGTGTGTAAGGTAGGGGTGGAGGTGGGGGGTGGGAGCGGGCCCAGCACCGCTTACACTGGCATCTCACCCCTCAGTCCCCTCCATTCATGCACAGCCCCACCTCTCCATCTCTGCTCTACCCCCGCCCCCGAACTGTAATTTGCACCTCTCATTCCGAGCCTCTGTTCCTCCCACCCCTGAGGTTCTGTTCTCCTCTCTGGGTCTCTGTCCCCATCTCTCTGGTTCTCTCCCAGGTCTCTGCCCCCTTCTCTGGGTCTCTGTCGCTCTCTAGGTGTCTGTCCTCCCTTCTCTGAGTCTCCGTACTTCTCTTTCACCATGGGAATCTCTATCTCCTCTCTCTTCTTGCTGCCCCTAAAACTTCCATTCTTCACTTTTTTTCTCTCTGCCTGACTCCTTCGTGTCTTCCTACTTTTCTTCCTTTGGGTCCCCGTCTCTTTCTTCCAGCTCTCACTAGTCTCTAAATTTCGCCGTTTCCGCTTTCTTATCCCGACTTCTTTGGGCGCAGTGGTGCGATCAGGGACTCTGATGTGAGCGGCACCTGCCGTTGAAGACCAGGCTCCCCAGACGTGTGGTATTGGAAAGGGCTTAACCTCTGAGTATCCTTTCCCTCATCTGAGGATTAATTGGATACACTATGAGGACTTCAGAACTGCTCCCCGCACGAAACAAACGTTATTAGAAAAGGGTTTCCCCCTCTCTCGAAGCATCTCCAGCAGCTTCTCCAGGGTTTTCTGTGTCCCGGGGAGACCGTCAGAGCGACAGGTTGGGGCGGGAAAACAGGAGAGAGAACCAGTCATCAGGCTCCCGGAGTCAGGGGCGGGGGCTGGGAGACACCTGGAGTCTGGCCAGCCCTCCAGCCCCGCCCCTCAAGGTGACTGACAACCTCCTACTTCTCAGACGCCGCCGAGGGCTCCGAACTGCGTGTCCTGGGCGCAGCTCGCGCGGACCGCACTGTGATTGGTCTACTAGCGAAAAGGGTGAAGCTGGGCGTGGCCGCTAACGCGAAGGGGGCGGGGCGGACTCTTGGTATTGGCAAGCTCTCCATAATTTGCACCGCGCCGTAATTGCCCTTCGGGCCATGAGGTGGGTCTGTTTCTGCGTAGTTGAAATACTGAATAACTGTAATCTTCAAAATCATCCAGAGTTGGCCAAATTTTACAAATAAGACTCTGAAAGTCAGGACTAATTTCCCCAAGTTGCCAGCGCTAACAAAGCACAGGATAGCTCGAACCCAAACCTGTGCAACTTCCAAGTCTAAACCTTTCCACTCTGCTGATGGAGAAATGGAGTTACAACCTTACAAGCAGTTACCATATGCCGGGCCCTCTTCTAGACACTGAGTAGCCTCAGTCTGCCCTTCACATACTCTACTTCCTCCCTAGATCTCCACAGCAGGTAACACCCAGACCTCCATTCCCAGACAGAGAGCTCAGGGCTCCAGCCACCGCTGGGAACCCTGACCCCCACCCCACTCCATATGAGCTCCTTCTCATGGGCTCTCCATCTTGGGAATGGCTTTATAGTCTACTAGTGGCCTGGTGCACAACATTCGTGCACGGGGGGGGGGTGTCCCTCAGCCCCGCTTGCACCCTCTCCAATCTGGGACCCCTCAGGAGATGTCTGACATCCGTCTCGCAATCTGGGACTGCTAGCTCCTAACCACTCACCTGCCTGATCACCCCTAACCACTCTGCATGCCAACCTTCTCGCCCCCTACTCCCCCCCCCCATTGCCAGCCTGCTCACCCCAACTGCCCTCCCCTCCTGGCCTGATCGCCCCTAACCGCCTCTGCCTCGGCCCGGCCACCATGGCTTTGTCTGGAAGGACATTTGGAAGGTCTCCCGGTCTAATTAGCATATTACCCTTTTATTAGTATAGATTAGCCACTGGGTGAGGTACTGTCCTTGTCCTTCCCTCTTCCTTCACAGCCTGTCAGTCCCTGACTCCGTCCTTCCTGCCCTGCCTCTCTCCACCCTTCCCTTCTTCCCACCCACACATCAGGTCCAGCTCAGACCTCTCCCACCTGGGCCCCAGCCCCAGCCTTCTCCCCACCTCCTGCCTCAGCCTCACTTCATTACTCATCCCCTATGCAGGCTCGGGTCTCTTTCTCACTCCGAGTTAATTTTGTCCCTTCTCTGCTCAAGCCCTTTCTTGGGCACTTAGGAGTAAAGTTCATGATGGTGTCTAAAACCCTTCATGGGCTCTTGCCTACCTATCTTAATTTCACCACTCTGTAGCCTTCAATTCTTCCTGGCTTCATATAATTTTCTTTTCTTTAAAAAATTTTTAAAAATGTTTTTATTGATTTCAAAGAGGAAGGGAGAGGGAGAGGGAGGAAAACATTAGTACTGAGAGAGCATCATTGATTGGCTACCTCCTGCACACCCCACTGGGGATCGAGCCCTCAACCCCGGTACGTGCCCAGACCGGGAATTGAACCGTGACCTCCTGGTTCATAGGTTGATGCTCAACCACTGAGCCACGCTGGCCGGGCTCTTTTAGTTTTAATCCCAGCAGCACGGTGCTGCCAATGGCTCTCCACACAGGGAGGGGATCTTTCCCACCCCGTTTTCACACATATTTACTTCCTCTGCCTGCAGCATCCTCCTCAGGCCCTGCTTATTGTAGCCAACTTCACCCACCTTTCAAGACTGAACAGATGTCATGGATCTGGGAAGAAACCTCTAGCCTCCAAGCTGAGTCAGGTGCCTTTTTGGGGTGTGATTCTGTCCCACCCTTGCTCAAAACTCTCCCATGGAAACCTCTGTGGTGCTGAGACTGGTCTATATCTTGACCTGGGTCGGGTTTTAGTTTGGAAGGCTTACATATGCAAAAATTCATCCAGCTGATACTTAAGATTTGTCCATTTATCTGTATGTAAGTTACACCTCAATTAAGACATCAATAACCAAAAACAAGCAACAAAACCTCTCAAACCTCCCATCATCCTTGGGGAAAATGAACGCTCCACAGCCTGACATTGGAGGGCCTGTTTCTCTAAGCTTTATCTTTTAAGGTCTAGCTGTGGCAACTAGAAGATCACTATGTGTTTGTGGAGTGAAAAAATGGCACCTGGTCCCCTTCCTGGCTGTTTGCATGTAGCGGACGGACATCTGTGGTGTGTGCCTGGCCCACATCTCCTCCCTCTTTCTGCCAGGAGAGGCACTTGGTCTCCTTGCAGCGCGGGGTGATGATGCCAAACAGTCTGGCCAACAAGATATAAACACAGGTCTGCTGCTGGCTCTGGGAAGGCTACTGCTTTTCTTTATACAAAAGAAGGGCCACATCGCCTTCTGTCCGCAGAGACGATGTATGAAGCCACAATGTCCGCCATCCCCTGAGCACGAGAGGGGCCAGGAGGGTCACAGACTCAGCGCCCTAGCCAGAGGCTGTGGAGACTGAGCCGTGGGCCTCGTGCTGTTCTCCAGGCTTGTTTTGTGAGGACAATAAACCCCTAGCACTTACTCCATTATTGGACACGTTTTGCTGTTATCAAGAAATGTAGTAAAAACCATCACAAAGCCAAGAGACTTCACATAAAGACCCCATTCCGGGGCGTGGATCCTGGAGTACTGAACTGCATCTGGGGTCTTGATAACAGTGGCACAACAACAGGAATAACAGTAAAAAGAGTCCCAGGAATTCACTGAACTAGACGTTACTCTGAGGGGCGGGGAGCATGGCTCACACTGGGGGAGGGCCGAGGTAGCAGAGCTGGAGGTGGGGCCAGGTGGGGGGCGGGGGCTGGCCCAGCAGCAGGACGGAGAGCAGCAGCAGCAGCAGGAGACCCAGGACAGGCGTGGGAATCAGCGGATGCCGCCTGACCCTGCTGGGGTGGCAGGACAGTGCTTAGGGCAGGGCCCAGGGGAGCCTATGTGCCCCGATGACTGACCACCATTTCCTTTTGGTGATACCTTGGGGCTCACCTGAGCTGCTGGGGTTGGGGGTGCAGGGGGCACAGGCAGAAGTGGCTCCAGACTGGCCTCCTAACCGGAACCAGCTTCCTCTCCACAGGCACCAGCGCGTGCTGTAGGTCTGGCTGGGAGGGGCTGCTGGAGAGAGAGGAAGGCAGGGCAGTCACACTGGACATTGTCCCCAAGTTCCCTCCCAGTCCCTGGGGTCCCAGTACCTCTCAGGAGGGCTGCTTGGAATGTCTTCAGGGTGAGGGTCTCCCAGAAGGATGGAGAGATCAGCCTGGAAGGACAAAGGAGATGACAAACTTGGGCAGGGGGGGTTTGCAGGGACCTGTAGCTGCGAGCCTGCAGCGGGTCCCAGCTGGTCTGGGGGAAGCACTGGGCTTGTGTGTGTGAAACTTTAGAGATCTGGGGGGCGGGACCTGACCATGGAGGGGTCAGGGCTTCTGTGGGCCTTGGATGGGGGACCTGCACTTGTTGGCGGGGCGCCCGATGCAGGTGACACCGGGTAAAGGAAACGGGCTGGCACTCCGGGCGGGCGCCGTCAGGGCCGCTCACCCGACTCGTCTCCGTCGTTTGGAAGCCGGT